TTATTGCCCATAAAATTCTATTTTCGTCTTATATCATATTAATAAATTACAGTTATATGAATATTACTACATTGTCAAAGGTATTAGTTCAAGACATTTTCTAGTGGCGGGAGGAAAGGATTTATAGATTATAATAGTAGAATATAGCTTTTTTTAACAGTTCTCCAAAAATAGTATTAGGAACAGAAATTTAAATAAATCTTATTTATTATATCCATACCTGCGTAGTTTAGTGTTTATGTATAATACAATCTGTAGATTGTAATTTATGGTCAATACAATTTACATAACATACCTATATTAGACAATTCCAAATACACCACCAATGTCTTCAAATTGTCAAAGAAATTAACTTAATTTGACAAGGCATATTAATACTTTTTTTCCTTTTTTCATTTTTGGTCCTTGGTTGATATAGTTTAATGTTCAGCATGATTGCATGAAGTAACCTTGAACACATCCATTCCAATATAGATAGAATCTTCCTTCGCGTACGTACATAGTGTTATATTTGCCACACAGCACGACCATTCCTCACACACATCTGGATGAATTTATAATATATTTCGTTTAAGTTATCATAATGTTTGTAGGTACCTGAATTCTTGAATACTTATAAAAAGAAATGTTTATGGTTGATAACTGGAAAAAAATACTTATAACAATAATACCGGTTACCTATACAATTTATCCGTAATCCAATCCGTGGATCTACGTTACTACATTAGGAATACAATTCGTAAATTTATTTTATATTATTTTTACTTGAACAATCTTGAGGTAAATTCATTCAAATCACAAATCACAACTACAGAAAACGAAAACCCAATATGGCAATATCCAGTGCTTGTGAATGAGATTTGTGGGTATCCGGTATATAGATATTTAGTAGATGTAAGATCCATATACCTAGTATTACCTACTATTTATATACCATGAACCATGGTTAAGTATTACAACTAACTATAGAAGATAATATATATTCTGCCTTGTAAAGAATATTTAAAAAAAATATATGAGTATATTTCTTACATACTTTAAGAATATATTTTTTTCCCCGCTTATTTATGTCAGTTTTGGAATGATTGTATACTCGTTTAATGTTATTTTTGTATTGATTAATACATAAACATATGAAGTATAGAAATAAGTATTATTATCGTTTATTTGTATTTATATTATATAATATTTAATAATGCTATACATTATTAAGTAATAACATTATACAAGTAGATTGATTAGAAAAAATTGTTTTGTCACAAATTCAAAAATATTGTCTGTTATGAAAAAAAGAATATTTAATGAATAAAAAAATAGAAAAAATGTATTCAAAATACGTATTTGAATACCCTTAATACAAATTATTTAAAATAGTAGGTATTAGAATTTCGAATAAAATAAATGTATAAGAGATTCTTAGAATATTTTTATACGAATGCATTAAAAACTGTTTACAATACCTACTCGTCTAACGTCGGAAATATTGAAAATATTTTGCATTTAGATTATCCCCAGAACAAGACACTCACTTGTATGATTTATGACATTAAAACGTTCAATTTATTTACACACGCAGTCGCGTATATTATATTGTATCAAAGCGATTAAAATCATGTATGTAAATTATATAAGCTTCGGGGTGGCATGCAGGATGCAATGCAGTCACTATAATATAAGTTATTGCCTATTGGATGCAATTTTGAAGTTTAGGTTTAATATTATGAAGAAAACACATAGAATAGAAATTTAAATAATATCGACTGAATTCAAAAATGGGAACGTAGGTATATGGTATATTGATTATAAACACAATCAAGGCTGTAACGGGGGTTGGAAGGGTTAGTTGTCCAGACCCTTCTCTGACATTTTTAAAAGTATAACAAGAGTACAAACTCTTTACTTCAAATACTTTAAACTCTTTACATACTTTGAACTTAAAAATTGTTTGTATCCGTATAAAACAAATGTTGGACTCCTAAAAAGTGTTTTCAGTTAGTACAGCCTTGAATACAATATTAAAAACAATTAGAGAGATCTTAATCATACCAATGGAATTAAAGTCATATTATGCTATTTAAAGATAGGTAAGACGTACAGTATTTAAATGTTTTTTATAATTTGATTTAACCATATTCTTTTAGTTTAAAACTTAAAAGCAAAAACACTGGATTTATTCTTGTTTTATCAAAAAATGAAAAAATAGATAATTTATTGTAATACATTAATATACGCATTACAATTTATAACTATGAACTAGGTATAGAATAAAAATATTGTTTTATTATTTATGTGAAGGAGTATATTACGAGAATTTATGATTACCAAATTATCATATTATGAAATTGCTCACTAATTTTAAGTGAATAAACAAATCAATAAATTGAGTTTGGTAAAAATAATTATTATATTGTTTACCTATTTCATGACTAAAAATAATTTTTTTTTTATCATTGAGTAATGTTTTTTCCTGATTTTGTTATATTGGATCCGTTATTCATAAAAAATATTTTTGTTGAGAATGGCCAACCTAACAAATTTGTTTATTAGTAAATAGTAATGCTTATTAAGTTTTTAAATATCTAGTTTTTATCAAATTGCAGTAGGTAGATATTATACTACAGTATAGTATTTTTTCCCCTATTTTTTCCTTAAATAATGAATTTATTCAAATTTTGATAATTAGGAATTTTTAAACATATTCAAAGATTTTTTTGTACTACTTGAACTCTCCTTTTCCGATTTAAATTATTTACTGGGTCATATTTTTGGAAATGCTGAAATACCTAATTCAAAATTCAAACACTCCTTATGTAGGGGAAAAGATTTTTAAACATTTGAAAGAATAGTTATTCAATATATTTAAGAATTTAAAAAATCAGATTTTGAATAACGGTATTATTGAAGAAGAAAGGAGTATGTTTGATGAATTACTCTGTATAAAAAAACCATACGATTTTCAGGCTGTATACCTGAGCCAAAATATCGTACATCGTTTGCGCATCAGTGACCGATTATCGTTTGTGCATTGTTTGCTTAACTCCATCAAATTATAGTACATCATATGCGCATTAACATACTGAACAACAGAAGGGTATAAAAATAATTGTTGGTTGAAAATTCAATGATTTTCATAATTCACTAATAATACCTAAATAGATACAGACAACTAAAAATAAATTGGATTAATTCAATTTAATTGCAGTCATAATTATATAAATTATGTAGACAATGAATAATTTAAGATTGTTCAGATTAAAAATAATAAAGATATATAAGCACGAGTTATCGTTTAATTAAAGTTAAAATTTAAGTTCAAATTTTGACGTTAATTCCAAAATTAACATTTTATAATTTTTTAATTACAAATCAGTAATCACATAGTCATAGTTGTAGTATAATATATATATAATTTGGGTAAAAATGAATTAAAATAAATAAATACATAAATAAACCTATTTTCAGTTCTATTTTTGAATAATATTGATGCGCTAATGATGTACATTCTTTTGATGTATAAGGTAAACGGTCGATGCGCACACGATACACAGCCCAAAAATCGAATGATGCTCAACCGTCTTACAAAAAGGGTCGAAATTAACAATTGTGATGTGCGTTGAGTGATTTCCATTTGCTAAAACAAAATCCCTGGGTGAGTCCATACTAAAAATGTGAGTTTTAAAAATTCTTAGAAATTTTTAATTAATGTATTTGCTGTATTTAGGCATTAGGTATAAGCTTACAGGTATTAATTGTTGTGCACTATAATACAACAATACAACCTATTGGTATATAAGTAATACTTATATAGTATTATTAAGTATAAATATTATGCACACGGTCCTAATACTAAGAGATTAATAATAAAATAGAAAAACGGTTATTTAAAAATAGTAATAATGCATACAATATTAGGAATGAAAAAATAACTTTTAGTTGTCCAGAGGAATAACAATTACTATTTAAAGTTTATTTTAAATAGTGTATACAAATATTAAATATAAGAGGCACTCGGCTTCTACGGTCGACGAACAAATCTGTTATGTTGGTATGTTTTTTTTTTTTTAAATAATATTATATTATCTTATTAGAAAAATGATTCTAACTCTTTTTCTATAGGTGTTTATGTGATGTTTTAAAGTTTTAAATGCCCATAAAACAATGTAAAGTATATTTTTTCTTAATTTATTATTCTAGCCTATAGGGGACTATTTTAGAATACCACTGCGTTTGTTATTTTGCATTCATGTCTAAGTATTTAAATTTTAAATGCAAGTTTTATTAAACGAAATAGTAATTTAAAATTAAGTATCATAAAAAAATGTGTATGGGAATCTTACACATTTTTTAAAAATATTTTTGTTTTAATTTTCTACGTAATTTAATACTACGCGTATTATGTAAAATATCTAATAATTACAAATTGCATAAAAACAAATCGAAAACTACTTAGTATATATTTCGTATTATAGTAATTTTAGTCTCGTCAAGATAATATACATAATACATATATTATATAATATTATTGATTCTAAACCTAAAATGTTTTGTTTTATTAGAAAAAAAATATGAACTCGGTAATACATGCTTTGAACTTGAACCTTAATCATTGTCTAGGTCTAGCAATATTAACCTTGCTATGGTATTCGGTTTTGTTGGTTTTTTTTTTCATACCACTATTGTAATTTGTAACACAATTATTTATAATTTTTATCTGTGCGTGAATGTAACAATGAAAGAAAAAGTAATGACTTCTTAGGTAAGTACATTATATTGCAAAAAAAAAAAATAAAAATAAAAATAAAAACAAAAATAACCCAAACGTCTTGTACACCATAACGACCATTGATGACTCGGTCATCAAAGTGATACTACGCGGTCCCTTGACCTTCGGTTTCCCCCTCTGCCCCCCCTAAGTCAACCCCTCCACCGATAACCGTTCTATATCGACTCGTTTTGGCGTACCTATCTGCGTACCGGTTGTGTACCTACATGCTACCTGAACCTGAATATCAGTGTTTACTCGCGCTGGGCTCGCAGTACCTACTACACGAGTACACGACTGTATGCGCCTGCTAAATGATCCATTAATAATAGTCTCGCAAAATCCGAAATCGTAATTTTCTCAAAATAGTGTTTTTAATCGGCCGTAATATTACATTCAGACTGAGTGCGCGCTTCCAGGATTTAAATGGTGAGTTAAAGAATTGTTATAATAATTCAACCTACGAATGCGAAAATACTTACCTATATTTTTAACACTTATATTATAAACTATTGACAATGCGATTAATACGAAATAGTAATAAAACGGCGAATTACCACATTGTGCCACATTCGAATGCGAAACGATTCGAACAAATTAAATCCAACGCCTCAATAAAATAATATTGTACTTTTTTTATACTGCTGACTCTTTATTGTCATTAAACAATATACGTAAACAGTCGCGCTGTTGGAAACCCCACCTCTATAAATGGACTCGTATTCACGGTTGTCGATAGAAAAAGTATTTCGAAAGTTAATTCGTTTTTTGTTTGAAAATTGTTCAATAGTTTTCTCGTCGTACATTCGTACAGACATCGTGTTGAATGTATTCATTTGTTGTTATCGTCGACCGTTTTATTGAAAACAATTTCAGCCTCTGTTCAGTGCTGTTTACTTATATATATTTCGCTGACTACATAGTACAGCTTACAAAAATTATTCGGCTCTATTCGTTGGACGTTATAAAGTCAAGCTGACTTAAAAATTGTAAATTACAAGATGCTGGTGGGAAAATCGATCGATATCCACTATGCCTCAATAAGTTCTCGATTGAGTAGGGTTCATCGCGTGAACGGTTTTTTTTCTTAATTAGCCACCAACGTCTTCATAAATCGTCGATAGTTTAAGAGATGGGGTGCTTATTAGATATTTAGGGTCAAAACGAATGTACAGTTTTCAGCAGTTTTGTGAGCATTTCCTTATATTGTCTGATATAATATGAGCTCTTCGAAATAAGTTATATTATACTTTTATAGTTAAAGCTGCTGGCACAAGTATTTTTTTAGTATCAGTTGTCTTATCGGTGTCTAGTGTTTTTGAAAAAAAAAAATTATTACTTCATGAATATGAACAGAATGATTTTTGTCACCATTGTTTGAAAAAAAAATGTAAACTGCGGACCCTGTATTTTCGTATATAATATACATGCATACTTATATTGTATAGTTACTTAAATATTGTGAAATAGTGTGTGAACTTAGAACTTGAGTTATACGTATGCTACTGATGTAGAAAGATGCAATTTTGTCTGCAGATAAGGTACAATGTGTGTTCGATGGGCAACGGAAGATAAAATATGTGTTTGGAATGACGTTACGCTATTAATAATATAAGACTGTGGCTCAGAAACACTCTGAGTGTACGTACCAGACGGAGTTGCTATAGCATCCGGATGGGTGAACACCCGGGATTTTTAGCTTCAAAACCCTTGTCACACATACAATGTGTGTTCTAAACCAACCGTTTCCACTTACAGACAGCTAATGGCCATAGTTGCCGGGCTTTAATTCAATAAGAAAAAGAAAATTAAACTATTACCTAAATATAAAACTATATAAACTGCGTATAGTAGGTGACTTAATATTTTTCAAAACCATGATGTCGTTTTCGCGCAGTACTCTGAAATTTAAATTTAGTGTTTACTAATTGTATGTGCGTACTTTGCCTACACAAAACGCCTTTCCTACATAGACACGTATTATTATTATTAGATATACATATTAGTTTGATTGAGGATAGCTTAATTCGTAATGTATAGCAAATGTTATTAGGCATTTATAAAATGCTGCATTATGAATATAGAAATACAAGTAATAATTATATAAATTATATTAAATGCTGAAACATAATTTTACAATTTTAAATAATAAACATTTATTCAAAATATTATTATTTTATTTCGTATCATGTTTGAAATAATAGATTATAAGGTTTCTACCTCATTTCAGCTGTTTTTTAGATTACCAATATATTCTATACCTAGTTATAAGTAAGGGTTATTAATTAAAAACTAACAAGGTTATAGATGTAGTTGTACAGTTTATTAAATTAAAAACATAAAAAAAATTATAAGTATCAATATTATCAGTTTCAAAGTTGCACATACTAATAATTACATATTTTGGGTTTTAACTTGTAGGCTGGTTGGTGATTATCAATATTATCCTACAGGCGTAGAAAACAATTGTTTTGGACCTACATTTATAGATTAAATTAATTTTAAATTGACGAAATAAATAGGCGGGTGTCTTAAACTGTATTCTTATTATTATTAATTAAGCTATATTTGTATTGAAAATACAATCATTCTATTTCAATATTTTTGGTACAAAGATGACACTTTGTGGTTGTTTCATTGTGTTTTTGCTTATATTGCATTATAACTTATAGATACCAATTAGGATTGTATTATGAATAAAATATTATTCGTTATGTAAAATTATTTGGTTCAATAAATGTTAAAATACATTTAAAATGTTAAAAATGTATAAAAGTTATTAAACGGAACAATTTTTCTTTTTTTCAACCGCAATAATTGATGTATTTTACCACATGATGTTAATTGAGTTATGATTGTTAAATAAATAATTTCTTATTAAGTAATATTTAGGTAGGTACATTAAGGTGTTACATTTTATTTCAACTATAAATTATTAATATTAACGTGTATATTTATAACTATCCTACTGTATATAAATATATAATACTAATATTTTCCTTATTATTTCGTAACTAAATGAATACCTATGATTCAGACAAAAAAATAAAAATAAAAATAAAAATAAATTTATATTTGATTATGTTTAATAACAAATAAGGAATATCGTAAATAACACGTTTATAGTTGCAATTGATTGTTCAGGTGAAATGTCAATTCGTGCTTTCATCATTAAAATGGATTAAAATATATATCAATTCAATTTTCATCTCTAAAAGTTTTTAATTTATTCTAATTCAAACCGTTGTTGACGATTATTTATCAACTACTACTAAAGATTTAAAAATGTGTTTATAATAGTAAGTTACTATTAACTTAATTATACATACGATATTAAGTATGACTTCACATGCTATGTGTATGTGAGGACGTTAGGTACATCCTAGAATAAATTATATGTGCATATAGGTATCATTATAGGTACCTAACTACTATTCATATTAGTATAATATTTGTACCATACAAAAAGTAGTTGAACAACATTATAAAATATATTACCTATTTTATAAAATATTACTATTATTTTATTTCATGTTTTGTATTCAAGGATTGTCGTCTTCTACGAATTACAATTTACGATGTTCAATCATTTTGGAAGGGTTAAGAATAATTAAAATAATAATGATAATAAGTTATAGCAAATATATTCTGGTTGTTCATTTCAAAATGCAAACAAAAATACTAATTTTACTATCTAATATTCTAATGGTTTTTTTAAAATTATATGATGATAAAAATCTTGTATTTCAATGATTGAAATAATTCAATTTATATTATAAAATGTATTTGTTGAATGTGATTTAAGTTTGTTCATTTCTATTTCCTATACTGCTTATTACCTGTCAATATTGTTTCTACATGGATAATATTTAAAATTTTGAAAATGCTATTATATTTGGAGGTGTTGAATTTTAATACTTATAAATTATAATAATAAAGTTACAGTTTTTTAACATACTTCACAATTTTATAACTATTGCATTTAAATTAAAAATAATTTTTATAAATTGTTTAATTACACTGAGCGGGAAAAAAATAATTCAAGTATAAATCTATTTCAAAGCTAACCTTCTTCTAGGTTCATTATTGTATTCAGTCATTCCGAATTCATTTTTAAAATTAAATGACTATTATATTATTATTATGCACCTATTATTGTGATTGCTGAACCGATTGCTTGTGTTATTATTACATTACCTATTATATGACTGCATCTAAACCATAAGTGTGTTTATAACATTTGTTGAATCGCAATTACTGTAGTATAGTAATGAATATAATTCATAAGCCTCTCTTTTGTTTATATATTTGACTAAAAGTACTTCAATACCCATCCAAAAATTGATAATACGTCATGAAGCTAATAATACTTTTCGTACGGAGGTACACGGGTACATAAATTATAGGACTATAGGAGCATTAATTTGAATAAATATTCAAACCAGAAAAAAGTATTTTATAAGAAATTGAGAAGAAACACTACAATGTTCTTGTCCTTCATAGAGTAGACATTTTAAAAGAACACATACAATATACAATTAAGTATTTAATGCTTAGTGCTACCAATTTAAAACATGAAATTCTATAGTTTATTTTGTTTTAAGAATTATGAAACTAATTAAAAATATTATGAATTATTAATTTAAGATAACAAACTATTGTACTGTTTTATACTGGAAATTAAGGAATAACACGTAACTGCATGAAATATTTGGTTGGGTTTAAGTTAATTTAATGGAATAACAATTAGTTTCAGCAACCTTAATGTAATTGTAACTTTTATGTGAAATATTTTTCGTTTTTATTTATTTTTTAATGAATAATTTTTTAATATTTGGCTTTTCTATTTTCCTGAAAACTGGAAACAAAAATAGATTGGTACGTGGTATCGTCGTTAGCGTATGCCAACCATAGCGATGATGTACAATGTCACCGTGCGCATCATTTTTATGATATTTGTATTTAAATTTAGCCGTCTACCGTTCGGATGGAGCTGAACATAAGATAAATAGTTTTTTTTAACTATGCTATCATCTATTAATCATTGGTAGAGTGCCTGCCCAGCTACCTCCTATATATTATTTAATTGACGAGTGCCGGGGTAGATAAGCTTAAGAACTCATAAGATAGTTAATTTAACTATATCATACCTATTATAATAATTTGTTTGCACAGATTCGCATTCGTACAGTCATTACCTATAAGCGGATAATCACATCGATGCCTTGATTCACCACAGTGAAAATATGAATAAAATTAACAACCATTTGAGCTACAAAATGGAAGGTGACAAGTCGACTGACAACGGCGACGATTACTACAAGAACGTTAAGCTGGTTGGATTCGTGAAGACAGACTCGGAAACACTGCCCGGATATAAGAACGATGCGTTCCAATGGAGTTCAGAAGACAATTTGCCCAGTTACCCGTCATCTTATAACAGAGTAAACGACATTTCAGCTTCTAGTAAGTATTACTGCACTGCATTGCGTAAGAATTATTATTGTCCATTTAATACTGCCCATACATTAGTATTTAACCAACAATTCTCACCTAAATTTTTTCTTTTGGAGTTATTCAAAATAAGATTTTTGAAATTTTTAAATATTTTTCTTAAAGACCATATTTTTGAATACTTAATGAGACTTTTGTACTTTTTGAGAAGTGTCTTGAGGTGCAACAAATTAAAGTTTTTCAAATAAGTAACACCGTTTTTTTACTTTAAATTATTTAGTAGATTATATTTAAAAAAAAATTGTATGTAGGTATTTAAACATTTGAACAATTAGCTTCTGAATTATTAAATTTTATGCATTATGGATAATAGATATTATGCTTATATACATTATAAACATAAAATAAAATAGATAATTATGTAATATTTATTTGTATACATTTACGAAAAATGTCAGATAATTGATTCGATACAACATAAAGGATATTATTGTATAGTTTTCTTTTTAATTGATTTAAAAATTATAGTAAGTAAACTATATTAATCCAAAGGTGGGAAAGTGAATAAAAAAAGATAACACAAAATCGACAAGTTAGGAGTTCATAGTTAACAAATCTTAAATTCAACTCGAAAAGTTACAGCCAAAAAAATGTTAACTTAGTTCAGCTTAAGAAAAGTTAATCTTTTTTTTTTAAATTTCCATGTGGATCGCATAAAGACTAAAAAGTGGCTGCGTTCTTCCTAATTTCCTAAATTTTAATAAATAATTTTATTGATCGTGTACTGTAAATGTACCTATTTTACTTTTCATGATTATTAAATACCTATTTAAACTACTAATAATAACTAAGAAGAATTAACTAAACATTTATATACGTAGAGGTATCTACCGGCTACTGTACAATTTAATTTTTTTGAGTAACTATAGCCCTATTTGATAAAGTTTAATAAGTTGGAAACTATTCCTTCGAATTTTGGTTTGGATATATCAGCATAAAAAAAAATTATCCCATGAATAATTTAACCCAAAAAAGTGTGGTTCTCATTTGAAAAACAGGAGTTTATTTCGCCACAGAACACACAGTTTGAATGGTATAAAAAATCTAATGTATTCAAAAATATAGTTTCAAAGTATTTTTAAACATTTTTAAAATCAGATTTTGAATAGCTGCATTATTAAAGAAAAAAGGGGGACGTATACTTAGAGAATTACCTTGTATAAGGAATGCTCGTTGATGATGATTATTATTTTACCATCGTGGTGGCGTTTAATTAGTGTAGAGTTACCTATATAATTTGAAAATTATTGTAAGACCTGATGTAACAATAACATGTATACCTAGGTACGTATACTGTTTATTTCTTACTCTCGTATTATGTACAATACGAATCCGGCACTGTTATAAGTTATAATATTTAAACATTTTAAACGTTAAATTACTATGTGTCATTGTGTCCATGTGTTTACTTCAGATAGTCTAGTTGATTACAATAATTTTATACTCTGGGAAATCTGAAAAAAAAAACAAAAAAAATGTAGGTTGCTGAGCAAAAAACTTCTAATTTAGTACTTTGTGAGTATGGAAAAAAACTACCATACTTTTTTAATTAAAAAATTAACTCAATAGACGATTTTTAATGACGATTCAATAACTTTATCATAACTGCATACAGAAAATAATAAATCAATTTAAAACTGAAGGTTCGCTTACGTCCTAATTTTACTCATATTAATTATTACCTACTTAAAATAGTATTAATCTTTTATACCTGATCATGGTTGTATGACAATTCTAATAGGTACCTTGGACAATTCGACGTGTATAGCGAAACTAATATTTACGATTATTATGAGAACAGCGTGTTTGTTAATGCGATCAAAACTCAAACGATGATGATATTATCACCAAAGTATATTTTAATAGTTTCAATATTCGAGAACAAAACATTTTGGTATTGTTTAGATGACTTTACAAACAGTAATTATTATTATTCATAAATATCATAATAATTCACCCGACACTGTCATGCACATCATAGGTAGGCATTAAAAAAAAAAAAACCAGCATCTGATGTGTAATCGAGACATTCCCATCTCCCGGGTATTTCTATGTAAGAAAGCGTCGTTCTCGGGTTTCCCCAATATTTTTTTACCCGTTCTGGTAATTACATGTTCGAGTAGGCAAGCTTCCCGCCTAAAAAAACGCGTACCTATAACAAACACGATATATGCATATGTTTCGAGTAATCGTGACGGTCGTTGAAACATAACCCCTTCCACCGCAACACTGACGTAGTAACCGGACGTGTACCTACCTACATTAACAGCGATGTATTGTCATAGGTACTGAATAACTCGAAAAATACGTCATAGAGTGATAGACAGCTTGGGTAACTTTAAAAGACGGGACTTCATAAGAAAAAAAAATTTGATGAGGACATTTTTCGACACTGCTTTTTTCGTTTTGAACCAATCATATAACGCTTAATTTTTTAGCTGTTTTTTGAGTTAAGTCCCTTGTCCCTAAGACACAATGCTTAGTATACAAGATTCAGTCAGATAAATAGAGTTTACTAAATTATGTTTTTTAGACTTCTGCATATTCCATTATTTACATTTTAAATTCTACATAATACAATATTATTGTGTTGAAATCGAAACGATAAAATGAGTTACTTGATATTGTTACAGAAACGTTTATCTTTTTATGTTTTCATTTTGATGCATAGGTACTGTTTGTGAAATATGTTTTTGAGATAAGGGTATTATAATTCGAATTATAATATTGCAAATTGTAATCAATACTTCATTGGAATGTTGTATTTATATGCTTGGGTTATTATATGGTAGGGCACCCAAGTTCTTCGTAGAAGTGGATTCGTAGTACCCAGTATTATATAGTAGTTGTAGGCTAACTGTCGCTTGACAATGAAATTACAGTATGTTTATTTAAGTCCAATTATTATGAAGGTTAAATATAATAATATAATATTAGAGGTGTTTTTATCAACACTAATATAATATTCAGTCAATTTTTGATTTAATGAAAAAATTGGTTTTATCATATTATTAAAAAAATTATGTCATTATAACCTTTTGTGATATCTGAGTATATTTTGTGATACATATTTAATTGACTGATGTCATCGACCATTAAAACAATAGTTTATTATTTAAAAGTATTTAATGTGATCAATATGACAACATTTGTAAATATAGAATATATATGTTGTAGGTATAAGACATATTAGAAAAATAATATTGCGTGTTTCAAATTATGGTTATTAAAATAATCCGGCAAGGCTACTGACTACAGTGATAGCCTTAATGTGTGTGTTTAATGATATTAAGTTAGAATAAAATAATAAAATATCGCAATGAAAACACGATTTACAACACTGATTACTCAAAAACTTGTTGGATCAAATTTTCAAATTTCAAATTATGTATAGGTATCTTATCAATTGTATGAATTAGGTTCGAAGCAGTATTTAATATTCATCAAACACTACAATCATTTTGAAAAGATTTTTCTGAAAGTAATTACACTATACCAACGTAGAAAGCTTATCAATTTCAGCTTAATATATATATAGTATAGTCTTACGGTTATCCATTATCTGCTTAAGTTTTGCACTATTTTTAAATCAAAAACCGCTGCAACCTTCATAGAGCTGGATTTATTATTTTTATTTTACCACCATTCGGTACCGTTAAAAGTGAATGACCACGCTATTCATTTATCACAATTCACAGTTGATTCTGGACAGTAATTTATTCAGGCCGATGAATACAAATATATTATATTCGTTAAATTATACTTTTCCTATAGATTGTAATATGATTGAGATTTAAGACGAATGGAGAAACTAAAGAATTACAAACTTAAGAGATAACCGGATTTTTAGAGTTGCGAATATTATTTTGCGTAAATGATTAATTAAAGTTGTTTTTATGTGTATTATGTATACATTGTCAAACCTCCGCTTCCAGCAAGTTCTTGGTAACATCGATTTCTTCTTGCAAAACAAAAAATGAAATACAGCTAAAACCAATTAACTTGTAAGTAATAATATTTATGCTTGGTATTCATGTATAGGGTACACAGTAAACGTGCGTCATCTAAAATACCAATTTACCCATGTTACTGTTAACCTGTCGTAAATTCGTAATACCCATTATAATATAATGATTATCCTGTTCAAGTTTAGATATTGATCATGCTAGATGAACGTAAATAGTTTCTTAAATTGAATTTATGTAGTTAGAAATAGATTTTTGTCTATTCTTACGAAAAAGTTGAATAATAAAATGACTAAGGATATTACCCGCAGTGTTTCGAATATGAAATAATTTTTCACTGGAATGTTCTGGAATAATGTACGTATTTATTTAAAAAAGTGTTTGGAAGTTGTCGCATTTGTATGTTTTTTTCGTTCTATTCAATTTATTACAAAGTAAACTTGAAATTTTTTTCACGGCACCACGAAAAAAATAATAAATGTTTTCAGTGTATATTTTTGCATAATTATTAATTTTGTTGTTTAAGAGCATATTTCTTAATTTCACCATTTTTAGAGCATATATTTTGCATTTTTTTAAGCGCATAAGTGTAATGTGCATGCATATTAAGTACTTTTTAATTGCATCAGACATTTAAATAAATAAATATGACTAATGAGCAATACACTCTTCCGATCCCTTTGGCCTTTTTGTGATTCATGAAGAAAATCACTTAACCGTTTTTAAGAAAATCTTCAAGCTCTACGTGATAATTAATTATCTTACAATTTTAACACCTATTCCATTTCTGTATAGGTATGTGTGTGCTTAATTTTTAGTTTCTTTGTATACATGTTTCTTACAAATGTTGTATTTATGATACTGACTTCAGTGACTGCACACTGTGACAAAAATTGAAGGGGATTTAAGTAAGAATATAGTGTCGTCCTCATTCCGCTATAGTGCTATACTCTTTGATACGTTAATTAAGTACAATATATCATGTTA